TTGTGGTGACCAACCATAAAATTATTTTGTTGCTACCTCATATCTGTAATTTTGCTGCTGTTATGAATAGTAATGTAAATAATTTTGGAGATAGAAATTTGCCAAAGGTGTTGCAATCCACAGGTTGAGAATTGCTGCACTGGGAGTGTTACAGCACCAGGGGTCCAGACACCTACCCCAAATGGACTGTTTCGTTTTCTTAATTGGTATTAGTCATTGTTTCTTTGCAATCAGCCTTTACTGCGCAAATTTAGCATAGATATAAAAATAAAGAAAACCACAATTACAGTGGCAGTGTAGATTGTCAAGCTCTGGAAAAGAAATGATGACGCATTCATGATGGGAACTTTCTTTCCCTTTAGATGCTAAATAAAATAAATTTGTGATATGCAAATCCCTTATTTCAGACAGGAGAAAATTGTCAAAAAAAATGATTATTTCTAGTCATGGTGGAGATGGCTTGGCATGTAAACGCTGCCAAGCCCAAATACCTGAGCTTGGTGCCTCGAACCCACATTGGGAAAGAAAGAACCAACTCCTACAAGGTGAGGTGTTCTCTGACTGTCAAAAGCACCCTATGGAACACACACACACACACACACACACACACACACACACACACACATTTAATTAATTAATTAATTAATTAATTAATTAAATAGAATGTAATAATTTAAAACAAAAATAGAGAATGATGGCACACATCTGTAATCCCAATACTTGAAAGGTAGAAGTAGCAGAATCAGGAATTCACGGCCACTCTCTGGCTATAGAAGAAGCTGAAGCCAGCCTGAGCTAGAGGAGATATGTCTGGTGAAACAAAGAAACAAAAATGTTTAATTTTTTTATACAATGTATCAAATTAAGATTTGAGCAAATGACAGAAACTGAATTTTATGATCATGACAGTGAAATAAGACCCCTTGTGATGATTTAAATTCTGGACATGGTAATTTGACAATAAAGGCTTTCTTTCCTGACAAAATAAAAAAGATGATATACTACAGACCAACTCTAAACCTTCCCTTCGTGTGAGAGTCCAATGTAGGATGAACTGTGCAGCAATTGTGAGAAACAAATGAGCTATTATAATTCATCTATTTTAATTAAAATTTTCTTCAAAAAGTATGTAAAATTTTGCTTCTAAAATGTTTAAGATTGCTAAGAGGCAATACTGTGTTCTCTTGCTTTTTGGTGTTAAAATATGTGTTTTTTATCACTTTCTCCTACTCCATGTAAACATCCTAATTACTAGAAAAGTGAAAGTGGAAGAAGAATAGTATGGCATGCATCATGTCATCATTAGTCCATCATGAATGATGGACAAATTCTTCTGAGTTTGAAATGAACTTGATTCTGTTTCAATTATGTTATAATTAATGGGACACTAGATTTACAATCAGTAAATTCTTCGTGTCCTTGAGGTACCTTTCTCAGCTCTGTGACCTTGAGCATGACCTTTATATGTTTATGGTTCCCTGCTAAGCAGAGATAATTGGCATTACCTTAGATTGGTGAACACTAAGCAGTTCAAGGGGTATCAACTCCTCTTTTGCCTGAAGCACTGTTACTACATCATATCATTGCATAGTATTTATTTTCACTTTGAATTGAGGTTATAATCTCACATTGAAATACATATTTTTTGGTGTTCACTCAACACATTTTTAAAAGCATCAAATCTTGCTGCAAATTTTGCCAATTAAATTTAAATTATCAGTTGAATTTCCAAACATGTTTTCTAAAGCCTTTAAATTCTTTTCAACATTTTAAAGTAGAAATTATTTTAAACATTTTACTAGGGCAATGCAAGGTGGGGAATGACCATGAATGGCAGATAAATGCACAAAACATCCTAAAATGAGGTTGTTACGAACTCCGAGTAAATAAAGCTTTCAAGAAATAGCTAATGATTCCTTATTCTTATCAGAAAGCTATCTATAATATACACTGGAATATTTAACAGTCAT